ATTAAATTTTTTTTCTCAAAAATATGCTATAATATGTGTACATATATACTCGTAATAATAAAAATTACGAATAATTAATTTTATTCAGTTCCCTTGAAAGTAATTCCCAAACATGCCTGTGTTTTTTCTCCATTTACGTTTATATGTACTATATTAGAGACGAGTGTAGTTATTTAATGAATAAAAAAATCTCGATAATCGCCTATAATGCACTTCATTTGTGAACACTCCTCGTTATACATACATATGTACTCGTGTGTATATGTTTGCATGTGCACTGTATAAAATTTATATTATTATTGCGCCACTTGAATTACTCATACGACACATTGTCAATTCCACTTTGAATTGAAATAAAATTATTGCGGACTGTGATTGGGCAAAGTGGGCGGCGAGTTCGGGCGATATTGCGACGAGTAAGCATAGGCAAGTGGCCGGCCAGACTAATTGGCGTCTATCGATTCGCGTATTTGATTTGCTTTTACCTTGTAAATGTATTGGTGATGTGTATGTGTTATTTTTTAAATGTATTGATATTGATGCGATAAGAGTCATAGTATGGAAAGGGAATTAAATGGAAATCAGAAGAGATATAGTCAATATTAATAATAAAGTATTTTTGAGACAACACGTCATGGAGTTGATTAACTATTCTGTGGGCATTTTCAAAGCAAGCACATATTATACTACTCGTATTATTTCAAGCTCTTATTGTTCTAGCTAAATATAAATATTACAATGAATGAAAATTTCAAAACTTCACATGTACTTAAAAGCGAAAATTAATATTAATAAAGGGAAAATTTTGTTTTGAAACGTTTAAGGAATTCAACTAACTTATTTAAAGTTTCCATTAGATAAACTTGTTCAATAAAAAAAAAATAGTTTGAATCATGCCCACCCACAAGATCGTTAACAATGAGATATTGTTGGCATAGTCGCACTTGCGGCGAATGATGAGCGATATAACTCTAATGAAGATCGAAAATATTCATTGTTTTGCAGTAGTCACTTATAACATTCGCTCGAACGTCGAATCAATGGTCACTATTTAAGTCGTTGAAGACATAATTTTTCCAAAGAAAACACCTAAGTGTCTCACAGTTGGCATTCGATAAAGTGCATTTAAATACTATATATATATATATATGTATATATATATATACAGCTCTTCAAGCTTTACTTAAGTACATACTCGAGTCGTAAGTCAGAAATTGTTCTATGGAGTTAAGACTTTGGTATATGCAATGACTCCAGCTATTCCATAAAGCCCAATAATTAGCACACTTAGTAGTTGGTGGTGAGAAAATGCATTGAATATTACAAAAGCAGATTACATGGGTAATGTTGGTCAGTGGTAGAGCACACGTGTGTTAATTCAGGACCTGTTGGTTTAATTAATACCAAGAGACCACAAGAGGTCTGATGAAGGGATGTGTTGATCTCCGAAACAGCTGTCACTTTCAACATCTTTTTTGTTGTGTAACTAAATATTCAATTCGCCAAGAGCGAAAGGCCTTCAATTAAAACTCAATAACGTATAACAAATATAAAATTATCCTTAAATGATTTTTTTACCACTGCTACTCATATTTTTTTCAAGATATATTGTATTTTCATAAAAATTGTCTATTAAAATAATTTTATTTCCATTAGATTTCAAATAACACAAAAAAAAAAAATTGCCGTTATTTCAATTTAGGATTAAATATTTTCCGATTTCGATGATTTGTATATGCGTATGTAGACAATAAAAATGTCCTGCCCTTGAAAGCTTTTTTGACGGACTTTTTGCCCAAAGCCTCATATCTGAACAAAACAGTTGTATGGGGGCTATAGGATATAATAATCCGATTTCGATGATTTTCGGTGACAACGTTTATTTGTAAATACAAATGTATAATCCATCATATGAGTGCGGAGCACCGAATTTCACGCTCTCAGACGCTTCTTGCTGATATATGGTCGTATATATGCTATACTAGTTTAAATTGGTTCCGGTTCCGGTTCCGGTTCCAACAAATTATCGTTTGAATGTAACAGTACATCTGTGGGCCCAATTTAGTTGAAATAACTAAAAACCTGTAGGACAAACAGACGGACGTGGCTAAATCAACTAAAGTGATCATTCTGACCCGATCGGTATAAATTCCAATTTGGGTCTATCTCTTTATCCTCTAGTACTTACATACATGCTTTGGACCAAAATTAATATACCATTTTATGAATATGAAAGTAATAAACAAGTAAAGCCCAGCGAAGGGCATATATGTCGTCACATGAATTCGTAGAACCAAGAAAGATTATCAGCTTGCAAGTCTTTAAACTGTTAATAGAAAAGTTGCTTGGAGGTTATTCAAAGTGGGAAATTAAAGGTCTTAAATTTCAAAAGAATTGTTAATTATTTCTTGAAAAAAAAAAAAACATTAACTCCATTAAAGATTCCCAGATTCTGCATTCACAACACAGTTTTTCCTTCAAAACTTATTCAGTATGAGTGACGGGCAAGAGCAACATTTCCACTAAAATTAAGGTAAAATGATTTTGATATGAAAATATCTTGAGATATTTCTGTTGGTCTCTTTTAAATGAAATTGAATCAACTAATTGTAAAAATAAAGCAAATACCTGTGTTTTTGAATTTTTTGGTATTAATCGTAAAATTATGTATTCTAAATTGTTAATTGAACAACATTTTCGTGATTCAGACGTCTTGAAATATTTATTTACAAGTTTTTTCTAAATAAGTAAACTCAGGTTGTTTCTGAAATTTAAATTTTTTTTCCATTTGAGGAATTTAATTTGTGATAAAGATTTTAATTAATTTTTTATGAATAAAATTGATAGAAAAAAAAACTACGGAAAAGTCAAAAATCCTTAAAGCTAACCAAAACATTGAGGAACTACTAACTTTTCAGAGATTTATATTTATATTTATTAAAAGTCTAATCTCCGTCATCGCGGGCGATAAGTATGTGGCATGTTAGGACCATTAACAATTTGGGGAATTCTGAAGGATTTTAAATTAATACCATTAAAATATATCTGGTTCCCATTAGCAGCTTTATATGCAGGTAAAAGAATATTGGGCTGCATGAGTGATCTCCACCACACCATCTCTCACTGGATCTTTGCAACGATTTTTAAGCTAATATTTTTAAAAGACTATATACAAGATGACATATCTGATTAGGGATAACAAGAGCAGGGAATATAGGGAATATTTAGAGAAAGTGCCGGTCGCAATCTGTGAGTTTTGAGTATTCGGATAAGAGGCCGAAACGTTTGCTGTAATAATTTTAGACGTTACTTCATTGCTTATACCCTGCCTTAAATGCGACTACTACATGCAAACGTGATATATAAACTCCACGCGGACAATAGAGCAACTCAAAACTCACCACAATTCATGCTAAAAATATGTGCTAACTAACACTGCGATGTCTTAGGGCTGCACCATATTCAGCTAGAAAATTAGTTTCGAAACTACTTCACAATAATACTCCAAGGAGCACACTGTAGGTACTTATTATGGAGTATATAAGAAAAATCATATTCAAATATAATTTTGATTTTCGAATACAATTCGCTTTAGGGAAAAATTGCATACATACTCATATATACACGGTGTGTCCCAAAAATAACCGAACTTTTTGGATATAAAATAAAATACCCATCATATTATCTTTGAAAGTTATTATTTACTCAAAATAGGTTCCATTTGACTCAACACAACGTTTGGAACGATCAATCATCGCATGCATGGATTTTTTTATGTCATTTATAGAAATGCTCTTCAGTACCTCGGGTACGGCTGCTTGAATGGATGGGATATCATCAGAAAATGCTCCCTTCATGTTGGCTCTCAGTTTTGGAAATAAAAAATAGTCACATGGTGATAGCTCAGGCGAATACGGAGGATGGTCGATGAGAGTAATCCAACTTTTCATTAAAAATTCGAGCGATTTTTTTGGTCGTCATTTAATTCATGTGGAATAAATCGCGCACAGACCTCTCTTTTCCCCAAATCTTCAGTTAAAATTCTTCAAATAGTCTTTTTACTCGTATTCAATTCCTTAGCCAACATTCTCGGAGAAAAATTTGCATCGATACCAATGATTTCACGGACTTTTTCCACCAGTTCAGCACGATTACTAGTTTCTGGACGTCCTGCTCTAGGGTCGTCATTTAAATCCTCATGACCATTTTTAAATCGTGTAAACCACGTATAAACTTGCGTACGACTCATACAATCATCACAATAAACTTTTTTCATTAATTTTTTTTCAAGTTTGACAAAAAATTTTATATTTGCTCTTTGTTTCATTTTATTTTTGAACCATTAGCACACTTTTGGTTTTATTGAAATGGCTGTCACTTTTACATCTGTCATCCGACTTACATGATGTTAGATGCGTTTGAAAGAGGTTGAATGTATCTTTTTAATATGTACTAACATAATATTTAACATATAAATTTCCATCAATATTTTGTTGTCAATAGCTAAAAAAATATATTTAAATCTGAACATTTGCTCTATTTGCACTGGAATATATTTATTAGCTCAAACTAATACACATACTCTATGTACCAGCAGAGCTCACTAAAGAAACGTAACAGACTCAATTTCAGTTTCAAACATTTTCTAAATGCGGTGGTTAAAACACGAGCAATCAGCGGCTTACATCAAGGTAGTAGCGAGATGTCAGTTGGTCCAATAGTACATTGCATAAGAGTATCTATTGGATTACTCCAATGGACCATAGGGTCTAAAATTCTTTGCAGGGCAGAGTAATTCTCAAATTTACTATACCATCAAATAAAATGGCTGAAATCCCTGCTGATCTTAATTGTACTGTCTGAATAGCAGAGATATAAACATAACAAAAAAATAAAAATTGTTACTACTTATCAAACGAAATTTAATTATTTTGTCAAAAAATTAGTTTTTCTTATATAAATATATAATAAAATATTTATAATTTCCTTTCATACTCTAGTTGCACTGTACGCATTTGCACTTGTGCACTCGCTGGCGATATCCGACACGAATGTTAAGTGTCAGATGAATTGCGATCTGCAGGACTACAAGCCGGTCTGTGGTACGGATGACGCTGGTGAGACGAAGTCTTTCAATAATTTGTGTATTCTGAAGACAGAAAATTGCCTGCGACAACTTTGTGAGTATACATACATATGTACATTTTTATAATTGATTATTTATAACATTTGAATTTATTATTTACTCTCTTCGCTCTCACTGTACTCGAAAGTATTACTGATTGTTCATACACATTTTCTCATTACAGCATTCCAGAAAACTGCAGATGGCGAATGTCCATAGATGCTAATAAAATGTAATGTACTATGCGTACAATTAAAAATAACAGTAAACCAGTTCTAAATGTAAAAGTAGTTAATAAACTAAGTTCTATACATTTTATTACAAGATATGCCAAGCATTTTTGAAATTTATTCATTAACAACAATATGTATTGTATAATCTTTCCGTAAGCACATTTTCACATCTGATTATTTATAGCACATGCAAATTTTGAAAAAAAAAAAAAAATTATAATAATTATACACACAAATATATATATATATATATGTTTAGTATAACTTGAATTTAGATTTGAATCAAAATATATAAATAAATAGCACAGATTTTAAATATATCCTTCGCCTTCGGCATAATGAGTGAAGTTCTTGGTCCATTACTACGGAATTCGTTTGTATATCCATCTGCTGTGGAGAATCATCGCGTCTGGTGCTGTTTCGGCTGATGGGTACTTTGTAGTTCTAAGTGGTATTTGTGTGATATTCTTAAGGTTTGATTTGGTAAATTCGACATTTACTGTAAAATTGCTTACATAGACATGTAAAGAAATTTCAAATATAAATAAAAGGTATGTAAAAAAACACTTTACAATTATGTTGTTTAGTCAAGCCGATAGGCGTTTCATGCCCCCGCTTAGTTCGTTGTGTCTAGAGAGCATTTTTTAAATACTAAAATAGGTGGCGAAGAGCAAGGGAACTATCTTAGCAAAGGTTCTGGAAGTCATCGTCGTTAACAATTGATGAATGAAGGAATGCCAACAGCTAACTGCCTAAAAGTCCTTGACAACTGGTAAGAATCTCCTAACATTGAGGTACATGGCATACAAAAAGTAGTAACAGAACTCTGGCTAAGCGAAAAATGTGACAGGCTCTATGCCAGCTATAGGACACCTAATCCTTTTCTAGCAGAAAATCATAGCTGGAAGGTAAAGCCACAGATATTAGTGAATATATCCATAATAAAGAGATTGTAGGTATTACTGGGCAACCGGAAATAAAAAAAATGTCAAGTGTGAGAACATGAATTCACTTCCACTCACTTTCAGGTCACACGGATGTAGAAGGCAATGATGATATCATATATTGCCTCAGAATGTTGTTTAGAGCAGTGAAATACTTTAATTCGTCGAAAAGTTCCAAGGCAGGACGTATCACTAATTTATTATGGGTCAGCTTAGAATGTAGACAGAGAAAACCGTTGCATAAATAAAAAAAATAGCATTCTCGGGCGTATATTAGTGTATCATCTTCCCCTGAAATATCATCTCCATACGCTCGGTGAAGTGAAATCGGCTGAGAGCAGAGCATGCATAAAACGAAAATTTACAGGAGCCCTCAACCGATTAAGACGTCACATATCTCAGCTACAGGCTATCGGAGATGGGTATCTATGGTTAGAAGAAACTAACACAATTCATCAAATAGAGCGAACTGTTGGCAAACCCATATTTGAATTCGCTTGTAGATGATCAACTTCTCCTCTTAACCAACCAGCCAAGAAGAGAAACATATTAATTGTTCATATTCGTTACAGTAATAGTACTGACCATGCATTTTTATATCAAATTAGTAAGGAACAAAGGGACGACTTTCGTTATGGTGGGTTATAGTTAAAAAAAACGAGAATATTATGACCAAAACTTCATTTCAGTTGGAAATACCAAGTGAAGCCAGGTCCCGCTCCGCCTGATCCTTCCAACGTGGTGGAGGTCTACCTCTTCCTCTACTTCCACCAGCGGGTACACCATCGAATGCTTTCAAAACTGCAGTGCTTTCATCCATTTGAACGACATGATCTAGCCATCATAGCCGCTGTCTTTTCATTCCCTGAACTATGTCAATATCGTCGTTCCATCGTCTGCGATATTCGCCGTTGCCTATGCCCAAAGGACCATAAATCGTTTGCAAAACTTTTATCTCTAGAGCCGACTCATCAGATGTAGCCATCCTCCACGCTTCTGCGCCATATAGTAGGACGGGAACGATAAGCGACTTGTTGAGTTTGAGATTCGTTCGTCGGGAGAGGACTTTTCTTTTCAACTGCATACTCAGTCCGAATGTGCACCTGTTGGCAAGAGTGATTATGTGCTGGATGTAAATGCTAACATTGTTATTAGTGTTAATACTGGTGCCAAGTTCAAAGTTATGACTGTCAACAGTGACGTTTGAGCCAAGTCGCGATCGCGATGACTATTTGGTTGACGCTTCGCTTCCTTATCCAGTTTGGAGAAAGCAGAACTTACGGCGCGGTTGTTCCAAATTCAGACATAGCGGCGTAAAGGCTCGTTTCGTCGAAGATGGCTATAAAATCGACAAAGAGCTCGTGGGTATCGATTCTCTTTTCAAAGGTCTTTTCCAAGATTTGGCGCATAGTGAATATCTGGTCAATAGTTGACTTACCAGGTCTAAAGCCACACTGATAAGGTCCAATCAGTTTCTTGACGGTGGGCTTTAGTCTCTCACACAATACGCTTGATCGGTGTTACGGGTTCATCATCTCCTTGTGTTTTATTTTCACTGACATTCTGAAGGCTGAAGAAGTGTTCCCTCAATATATACTCTTGGCATCGGTTGCTAGATCACCTTTTTGTGTCCAACAAGAGTCTTGAAACCTTCTGTAAGCCACCGTATCTTTTCATAGAATTTTCTAGCATTACACTTGTCGGCCAGCTTCTCAAGGTTTTCATACTCACACATCTAGGCATCTTTCTTTTTTATCTGCAGATGCGCCTTGCTTCTCTTTTCAATTCCCGATCGATCGCAACGATTTACAACCTGCTTTCTCTCCACTGCAACACGACAGTCCTCATTGTACCAGCTGGTTTTGTGACCTTTCCCAATCAAAGATATGTTAACGAATTTCGCTTTGATACGTCGAGATGTTGACACTCGGCTAAATATATCTCTTAACACAAATCCGACACCAAATTTGCGCTCCCTTATTAAATAGGATGGAAACACAAAGGAGACCGATATATGGGTGCCTCATGAGTAAAGGAGAACAAACCTCATTGGGCGAGTTTCCTTCAGCGAATCGTAACAAAATCGGCCTATTCCTGAAGCGGATGGAGCTGGTGATGTAAGAGCAGTCAGCCGGCACAACCGGTCTCCAAGCCAACTCTTAATTCGGACTTATACTGTCAGCACTTGGACCGTCAGAAGGAAGCTATCGCCTAGAAGCGCCCAGCTTCACCCCAAAGACCTTTGGCGTTTTTTTTTTTTTGATATTCAGCATAGCGACAAGGATTTCAATAAGAGAGGCATAATGGTATTAACTTCAAAATGGCAGAAGCAGAATTATTCATATTTGACATAAATATCCATGATCCAAAAAAAATTATTTTACTGTATTACCTATCAACCCTTTCTAACTTTCTAAGGCTAATAATGAGCGTTCCGTGGTACGTTCGTAACGTAAACTTACACAAAGACCTTGGTATCCTATTGGTTAAGCCTGAAGTTGAAAGGAGCTGAACGGAAAGCCTCACAAAACTGAGATATCATCCCAACTCGTTTGCTTAGGCTTTGAGCAAATCAATTGAAAATTCCCTACCACCTTCTCAGAAAAGCGCTCAGAGTTAACTCGATCTGACATGTTTTTTATTTAGTTCTAATATTTATTTACATATTGTGAAGCTTAAGTTTAGTCGTATAGATTCAGTAATAAATAAAAAATATTATTTCTTTAACATATAAAAAGATAAACAAGTTTTCAATCGTTATAGTGATTGTAAGAATTTTGGCTTGAAAATACTTTTGCATTACCTCAAAACACTACAACGAATAAAAATATTATTCAATGATCAGCACAAATCTTTAGAAATGTCCAAAAAATTCCTATTAAGTTAAATTCGTAAATCTTGTAGCATATTTATAGGCATTTAAAATATTCTTACTACCAGCGCCTAAAGTCATACCTATTCATTCATTAGTCAGCAACAAGTACTTTTGTATAAGTGTGTATGTGGTTATTTTAACCAATATTGGTTACATATAAAACACATGTTGGCATATACATGCATATGTAGTTGATGAAATGACATGAATGTTATATTATATTTCATTCCATTTTCTTTTATTTTATTTTATTTATTTTTCTTTATTTCAGCATATATTACTTTATTTTGCATTCTTTTAGTTTATTTAATTTTTTCATATTTTATTAATTAATTTAATTTCTTTTAATATTAACTTTTTATTTAATTTATTTTTTTGTGTTATATATTATTTGAATGGATCTACATAACGGCTGTCACACCTGTTATTGTTATTTAACCATCTAGCTGTTTTTAATTTAATTTATGTTACTTTAAATCATTATTTTATTTTAACTAATTTTTATTTTAATTTTTTTTTTATTATTTATTTCAATTTACTTTATTTTGACTTTTTTATTTTATTTGTTTCCATTTCTTTTTTTGTTTTAGTTTATAATATTTCCATTTTTAATTAATTTAATTTAATTATATTTTACTTGATTTTATTATGTTTATATTTACTATTTTATTTGTATTGCTTAATTTCAATTTGTTAATTTATTTTAAGTTATGTTATTTTATTTTAATTTGTTTAATTTTATTTCAGTTTATTTTATTTTATTTTATTTTATTTTATTTTATTTTATTTTATTTTATTTTATTTTATTTTATTTTATTTTATTTTATTTATTTTATTTNTTATTTTTTTATTTTATTTTATTTTAACTTATTTTTTGTTATTTAATTTTTTTTTAGGTTTTATTTTGTATTACTTTATTTTACTTTATCTTAGTCTTTTTAATGATTCTTTTTTTATTTTATTTTAATTCTTTTATTATATTTTATTTTAAATTATTTTAGTATATTTCATTTTTTTTTTATTTTATTTTATTTTTTTTATTTGGTTTATTTGGTATTCTTTTACTTTACTTTATTTTGACTTTTTATTTTATTTGATTTTATTTCATTGTTTTATTTTAATTTACAATATTTCTATTTTTAATTAATTTATTTTTATTTAATTTTACTTTGCATTACTTTATTTAAAGTTTCTTATTTTATTTGTTTTGTTTTATTTCTATTTGTTATTTTATTTTTTATGTTATGTTATTTTAATTTATTTTACTTTGTTTAATGTTTTTTAATTTTATTTTGTTTGGTTTAGTTTAATTTATTTAATTTGTTTTAATTCATTTCGTTTTATATTATTTTATTTAAATTTTTCATTTTATATTATTTTTATTTTTTTTAATGTAACTTTTTTAAATTTTATTTTGGTTGATTTTATTTTATCTTGTTTCATTTTTTCAGTTAATTTTTTTATTATTTTATTTTATTTATATTCATTTTATATTTTTTAACTATTTTTGTTAAATTTCATTTAATTTTTTTATTTTATTTTGTTTTGTTTTATTTCAGTTTTTATTTTGTTTTATTTTACTTTATCTGAGTTTTTTAAATTTATATTGTTTTAATTTATTTTATTTTTATTTATTTTATTTTTATTTATTTATTTTTCTTATTTTATTTTAATTTATTTTATTAACTATTATTTATTATTATTAATTTGATTTATTTAGTTTTGTATTATTTTATTTTGTTTTA